CCCCAAATCCCCAGCCCTGCCTCCTCCCCCCAGGCTCTCAAGCCTAGTAGGGAGGGAGGGGGAGAAGCGGCGCGCGCGCCGCGGCCACTCAGAGTCTCCCCCTCCCTCCCAGGTTTGAGAGCCTGGGAGGGAGGGCGAGTAGCAGCGTGCAAATCACCTGTTTGGCGCACCGTGGTGCGCGAGCGGCAGCAGCAGCGGCGGAGGTGAGCTAGGGCGGCCGGGGCACATTTTTAGGGGCGGCAGGGGCGGCATTCTGGCGCTGGCCATGCCGCCCCTAAAAATGTGCCGCCCCAAGCACCAGCTTGTTTTGCTGGTGCCTAGAGCTGGCCCTGTTCCTAAAGCACCAATACATCATAAAAATAACCAAGACTGTCACTTTAGCTGTGCAGCACTTGACAAGTTCAATGCATTATATGAACATTAATAAAATTTCTTAACTAGCTTTCTTGTAAGGATATGTGATATAAATGGCGGTAACACATTTTTTGAATTAATGTTGGGATAAACTTCATAATGCCCCCTCTCTCTCCCCCCCCCCCCCCCCCCCCCCCCCCCCATCAACCTCTGGTTGCTCTTTTCCCCTTTTGTTTTGGAATGGAATGAGATCTTTGAAGCTTTTTTGTCTTCAAGGGCAGAGAGCTGTGCTGCTGATTTAGCTGGGGGGTGCCCTCATAAACAGGTCCCAGTGACTTAAGTTGGAGGCAGCTGTTCGTGTCTCCATGTGCTACTCCTCAAGTGGACGTTTCCTCCTGCTATGGTTTGATAGTTAGATCTGTATAGGTTTCACCACTTTAGTCATTATCTCCATTGTTGATATAAGTGAAGTATAAATACTTCTTTGACATAACTAAATAATCTCCAAGTATGTACTGGTACGGTTTTGGGGGTTGGTTTTGGAGGTTTGGTTTGGTTTTCCATAGGGTAGGGGAAAGATATTGGACGATTTTCAATAAGGATATTTAATAGATTATACAACACAATCTAAAAAATGTAGACTTTTAGTGACCTGAAGTATACCATATGCAGAATCAAATTATCTTAAAATCTCCTAATCTATTTCTTCCTAAATATTGTTGCTACTAGGATGATCAAAAGGCAGAAAATGATATGGCAGTGAAACGGGCAGCATTACTGGAGAAACGGTTGAGAAGGGAAAGAGAGACTCTACTTCGAAAGCAGCAGCTGGAAGCAGAGCTAGAACATAAGAAGGAAGAGACAAGGTAAAGCTAATTGCATATTCTAATTGCAACATAAGCAATAATAATAAACATGAGAATCTTTGCTATGGCTAAAATTATAAAAATTGTAATCATAATGCAATGAGGTCTCCATTCTTTGTTTTCCACAACAAATCCTTTTTCCACTGTGAGCCCAATACTTTATTTAAACCAATTGATTTCAGGGAGTTCTGGTACTGGCAAACTGAGTTAAAGACTAAGAGGATATTCTGTCTTATCTATTCACAATTCCACTTGAATGAAAGAATAATTTTTCATATGTATTTGAGGGTAGGGTTTGAACCATACTATACAAGTAGATAACCTTTTTCATCCCGTTATTTACATCTACAGTGGAGGTGAGAAGTTGATCCTCTGTTGATGTAAACTGGCAAATTTATATCAGCTGAAGATCTGGACTCAAATCTTCTGATTTCCCTGATACAATTTAAAACACGTCCAAAATCTATGGTGAAAAGAAAGACAAGCTCTCAATAAATAAATGGAAAACTTTTTTTAAAACAATTAAATCCAAAAATTCCACAATCTGAAGTATGGCCTTAATTTTTCCAATAATAACATTCAAGTGTGTTAAGTTTTTAAACTGTTTGAAAACTGAGAATAGACCAGTTCATCTTACTTGTATATGAGAACTCGAAGATTCTGGAAAAGCCATTTTTTCCCTGTCACTAGTATTATGGTGGTTACAACTGCTAGTCTTTACAAGGGAAAGTTTTCTACTAAAACTTTATTTCATGATTTCTTAGGCGCAAGACAGAGGAAGAACGTCAAAAGAAAGAAGATGAAAAAGCACGTAGAGAATTTATTAAGCAAGAATATATGAGACGGAAACAGCTGAAGCTCATGGAAGAAATGGATACTGTAATAAAGCCACGCCCACACTCATCCAAACAAAAAAAGCCACGTCCAAAATCTATTCATAGAGATCATATTGAATCACCCAAAACTCCAGTTAAAGGTCCACCAGGTAACAAATATCGGTGTAGAAAAAGAGTCTGTTCATGCTAAAACACCAGCTTGAATTGTGGTACTAACTAAAATATGCATAGATTAGCCTCATGCTAAACTGATGTACAATTTTTGAAGCTGCATGTGACTGAATTGGAAAAAGTAGAATTTACAAATGGAAGCTAATGATGACAAATGTTGCTGATATATTATGCATGCATGCATATAAGAAGAAACACAAAGGTTTGCTAGATGAACACCAGCAAAAGCACTAATGTCTGGCACGATTTTGTGCACGCTCATGTATTCTTTCCAGCCACTAACCTCTTCCTTGCACCTGTAGAGCTAAAAATGGGTAGAACATTTGGGAGATGTGAGATTAATAAATAAAATGGTGACTATAAGGTAAGAGTCCTTAAGCTGCTGCTTCATCATAGACGAAAACTAAAGTACATCTGAAAAGTTACTTTTATGTTCTGGTGTGTTTTTATTATGACTACTTCACCTACTTGCCTGACTTAGTGCATGTGTAGTTGTGATCCCTGTGAGAACAGTCCTATGGAAAAGTGTAGCATGTCATTAATTATTTAATAATTTAGAATAATGATTTCAAAGAAAATATTAACAATTTACAGATAGAGGAAAGTGCAATGTCCTCATTTGTGTTTTTAGCAGTAAGGTTTCCATATCCTTCGCTGTCGTCCCATGTGTGCTGTGTCATGGCTGGTTGTTACCCTCCACCTTATTTCAGTGCAATTTAAAATGCTCCATAACAATCCATTCAAATTTCTAGTTTATAATGGGAAATTAATTCCATTGTAACTAGACCTGCTTTGCTGATTTTGCAACTTTAATCCCATATTTCAACTCTATATTTCACATTAATGCTTAGCCTCAGAAAACTCCAGATTCAAATAAGTTCCATTGGTATTGTGTCTGTAAATACATGGATTAACTGTGCGACATATGCATGCAGGCATACTGTATATAGAAATAAGAACACTTATCAATTTCCCTCTGCTGGTGTTGTGTCTAATGAACAGACTCTTTACTATTTGCTTGCTTTTTCATGAATTTTAACTTTGTTTTTATCCAGGTTCACAACTTTATCATGTTTTTTCAGTATCTAGCCTCTCATTGGCATCACTGAACACAGGAGACAATGACAGCGTGCAGTCAGGCAAGAGAACGCCAAGGTAAAGCTGCAGTAACACCTTTATTTAATATAAACTGGTGTTTATCTTCAGAAAACTGGCATACGTACTAAAATGCTTAAAGTACCCAAGTTGCATATTTTGTATTCTGACAACTGATACTCTTTCTTGATCTGAAACACTGATCCTTCATGCTGTCGGCTGATGAAGAACTGAGTTGTGTGTGTTAATTTTCACAAGTGCTGCTGATTGTGCAGCTGTGAATGAGTGCAAAAGTAAAATCCAGTGGATGTGCTATCAGTGCTATCTCTTTAATTCACCTCCTTGAGATTTGGGCTCAACCTATAGATTCTTTGTTCACATGTTTTCAGTTTATATGCCATAGTACTTTTTTGCTGATTTGATAGAGTTGTGTTCTTTGTTTTTCTTAGTGGCTGTACAAAAGTAGTCAGGAGCTCACCAGAATTTAACTGGCATTTTTTTCACCAGCCTAGGCTGAATACCAGAATTTATTGTGAGTTAAAAGCCAGTGTGGTGTTTTCACTTGAAAATGATATAATGAAAGATTGAATTAAATAAACAGAAGTTCATACAATTACATTCAAGAAGAGAGGAGAGAAGAAAAAGGAAAGGTAGTTATTCCGAGGCTCAGATCAGACTTAACCCAACTCTATCCTGTATTTACTGCCACCGGGCTTTACTTCTCAACTGTGACCAGCCCTGTAGCTTTAATGAGCTGCTGCCTCACTTTTCTTCATGCTCTGAGCACTGGCTCATTGCTTGTCACAGTAGTGCATAAATTCTTTTAATTAAATGTATTGTGTATTTGACATCTCTTGAAACTATTGGTTTTATTTGAGAGGAGGTGTACTGTAACTATATTTAGCTATTCTACAGAAAAAAATAAAGCCTTGTCTACAATGGTTTTATTTACACCAGGTTAGCCACATGGATGTACCTGTACTTGTGCAAAACCTTAGTGCAGATGTGCTGCACTGAAGTAACAATGACTGGTACCCATGCATCTTACTGTGGCTTCAGATGTGATTCAGAGCTTGAGTTTCAGAATGTTGTAGAATCCAGTAAAAATTGATGAGAGGCATGGAATTTTCAGGATCATTGATTTTATTTTTGGTTGGGGTAGGGAAGGGGGGAATTGCCATAATTTTCTCCTTTTTCCTCATGTCAGAGAGTTAAAGGGTTTTTTTTTTTTTTTAAAGATTGTACTGTGTGAATTTCATAAAGACATTTTGCAATCTCCCTCATGCACAGGCTGAGTAGAGTGAAGGTACGGTGATATTACATGTGAAATGAAGCTTAATTAGCTGCTAAGATTCTACCAGATGTCAATTGAATGTGGTCAGAAAATGTTTTTAAAAATCACTTTTTTTCTTAATTTCTTCAACCAAGCAAGGCCTTTCTCTTGTTCAGGACCACATCCCTGCCAAGTTTCAAACTTGACCAATTTTTGTAGTAGTCCCATTCAAAGAAATTTAGAATTTAACTGAAAAAATATAGCTGAAGGGATTTTGCTCACACTTTCCACACATAAAAATATTCACATTTGGAGCAGAGTGTCATTTCATAAAAATTCAGGGGAGGCTGAAGGGGAGGATAAGGTGGTGTCAGCATATAGAACATTATATGTAATTACATTATATCCTGCAAAATCTGGGGGAGGGCAAAAAGTGGAAGACTTATAACCCTATGAAAAGTCAGGGGGAGCAAATAAAGGTCAAGGGGGGAGAACTCCCTTCCTTGCCCCATAGCAAATGACTCCCCTGATTTAAGGACAAAGCATTGATTATTTCATCCCCAATGGTTAGTGTTTGTGAAAACAAAAGGTTATAATGGAAACTGTTTTGCAGCCTTAACTATAGCAGTCCTTACTGGCAGCTGCTATAATAATGCCATCATCAGTAGAAATGGGAAAACAAACCTTGTACTTCTGGTTAATCATCCTGTCAAGAGCAGGCTTTTTCCCTATGGAAAATTCTCAAATGTTTTGCTCAGTGTAGTTTTAAATGATTCAAGCAAAATTCAGTACGACTGTTCTACAGTCTAATAGATTTTGTTAGAACTCTTTCCTTGATGTATAGTCTACAATTTCATACTACTGTTACTCTTAGTAATACCTTTTTGGAACACCTTAAATAATACATGTGACAGAAGGTAAACATACAGAGTTGCTCCTCTAATTCTTCTGGTAGCATTACGGGTTTTGGCTTTTAGTCTACATTTCATATCCTGCTGTCTTCTATCATAGTAATATATTCTAAGCACAGTTGTCAATTTTCACATGGTAAATAAGCACCCCAACTTTCACAGTAAGCCAAAAATCAAGCTAATCCCATTTCAAAACAAGGCCAAAACAAGCCAATCCCTAAGAACCACAACACTCTATGTGACTAGATCCCCCCAGCGTGCAGTCTGGGACTGTCGTGGGCCTGCTGTGCAACCCTGACCCTCCCACTGCTTGCCCCCCGGTTGCCAGGGGCCGATCAAAAAAAAAAAGAAGCAACAAGCTGCAACAAGCTACAAGCCAAAAACTAGCCAACAAGCAACTCGGAAGCCAATTAAGCCAAAAACAAGCACAATTTCTGTTTTTTTCCCCCGGGTTTGGTACATCTGATTCTAAGTTTTCCTTTGATCTTAAAAGGCCATTCTGCTGAAAATAAGGGGACTTTTCCATAGATATGTTCTACTCAGTTCTGAAAGGAAAACATATTTTTGTACATTTTTAGGTCTGAGTCTGTGGAAGGATTCTTATCTCCAAGTCGTTGTGGTAGTCGCAATGGGGAAAAAGATTGGGAAAATGCATCTACAACTTCTTCAGTGGCCTCTGCTACAGAATACACAGGTCAGTGTTGGTAATGTTCTTAGGGAAATGTTTGGGTATAAGAAGGGTCTGTGTATGGGGAGTTTTGGTTCTCCTTTATTTGCCATTCCTACAACGTGACTCTTCCTTAAATACTTGAAATTAATCTTCTATAATAAAGAAGCAAATGTCTAGACTGTCTAAAAATGGCGTAATTTAATATATAAAATAAAAAATATTGATACAATAGGAAATGTGGTATATTAAATAAAAAGACTAAACTACAAATTTAGGACAAATCCTGCAAACACTCACATAAGTAACTTTATGCAGGTCCTATTAAAATTGTTTCTATAGCAAGGGGAGGAAAGTGTAGAAAATATGAGATCAGTCTGTAACCAAAAGCTTCAAAGAGAAAAATATAATTGCCATAGGAGAAAAAAATCTATTCAGTAATATAAATTTAAATATAAAAGAATTGAAGAATTGTTTGAAAGCCAACCATACACCATAGTTTACATCTTGTTTCAAAACAGACCCCTCTTTAAAAACTAAAGACATATTAAAAACTTTCTACTGCCTTGCTTCTAATATTTCAGTGCCCTATGAGTCTAACAATAGTGACATCATCGTCATCCTCTTTTTCCGTGTGTGTAACATGTGATATTACAAAATGTCTTGTATCGTTATAATAATAAAATCTGTGTTTTTGTCCATGTAATATCGCTCAGTCTGGCAAAGAATAACTCTGAAGTATCAACAGGTATTCTAGATAAACAAGCTTTTAAGGAGGTTAATTTTGATCTATGAGGCTGTGCAGCTCTAGCTATGCTGGGAAATTTGTATGTTCTGAAAATAAACTATTTTCCTCTTCAACACTACTGCAATAACTACAGAAGAGGCCAAATTTACAATCTGGATACTGCACAGTACTTATCTACCAATCTTTGAGAGCACTTTCAACCAACTTAATCGCTTCCTCGCATCTCCTCAGGATTAAGTCTAATACAGGTACTAATACTGGACTTAGGTTGTCTCCTTTAGTTCTCTCAATTAAGACCCATTGCCTAAAGGTTGGGTTTTTGTTTTTGTTTTGTTTTGTTTTTTTAACTTTTCAGACTTTGTTTTTAAATGCAGCATGATTTTTTTAAGAAACTCAATCAGGGTCTTTTGCCACATAATTTTGAATACTCTGTGGTTTATAAATCGGATTTCTTACATCTTTTCCCATTCTGTTCTTCCCTCCAAACAGTCAGTTAGTTAGTCTGAGACAGTGAAAGTTAATATTGATTTTAAATCATTGGTGGCCTTTAAGATTATGTTGCTTTTTGTCTTCATAACTATGCCTCCTTTCAAAGTGTCTTGACTCAAATAGGAAGATAAATTGCTGAATCTATTCTCCATTGACCAATCCCTCAAAATTATTGTTAGGGTGAAGAGCCAATCATCTTCTAGAGGGCCTCTGGTTCTTAGGCTTCACATGTTGCTTTGATGCCAATAGGTTACATCCCCACCCCAAAGAACAGTTTATACAAAAATATACTTGATACAGTTTTCATCTGGGGAATTGGTTTTTGGTTAAACTTTTTGCAGTAAAATTTTCTTCCAATTTATGGCTTTTCCATAGGACTGGGTCACCAATTAAAGTCAGCAAGAGGGGGATACTATCAACCTCTCTACAGCTCACAACCCTACATTGCACACCTGTCAGAAACCAAAGCAGAGACAGTTTCTAGTCACTCCAGATGGAACAAGCCCTTCAGGCAGCCTTGAATTACCTGTCAGAATCAGCACCAAGACCTTCTGCCTTCATTATGGGCAAGTCACAGTTGGGGTTCCACAAGACTCAAATCCCAGAAGGCAGGAGACCAGTAACTCTAAACACTGCAGCAACTCACTGTTATCTGTTTCACGCTTCAAAACTAGGGGCAGAGGAAGAAATGAAACTACTCCTCCTCCTAGTTGGTTGAAGGATTTTTTTTTTAAATACAAAGTATTTGATCATTAGTAGATTATCATGTGAACAGTTTTTATGAGGCATATTCAAGATAGTTCCCTAAAATGCCCCTATGATGATCTAATGCTGAAGGACATATCATTGAGTGAATCTAGTAATATTTAAAAAAAAATCTTTTTTCAGTTTTGACAGTTGTACCACATTATATTCATATATAATCCTGTGATACAGTAACAGAAGAATAGCAGTCAATCAATGCATGTGTGTAACAGGTCTGATCTCTACTTATTTCTTTTGTGGGTGCTAGGATTGTATTGTTACATACAGAAATGATACATGGAAAAAGTGTCTCATGGTGCTCAAGACTGCTTTCTGTATAGCTTATTGAATCACTTAGCTGATTTGTCAATTCTGTTTCATAGGACCAAAGCTCTACAAAGAACCCAGTGCAAAATCCAATAAGCATATTATTCAGAATGCTCTGGCTCATTGTTGCTTGGCTGGAAAAGTAAATGAAGGTCAGAAGAAAAAAATATTGGAGGTAAGGATATTTTCCTTCTGATGATTAAAAAAAGGATTAAATCCAGCCACCTTTGGACATTAGGGAGATATGCCAGTGTGGAGGGAAGAGTGGAAAGGAATCTTCCTCCCAAGGCCGTGTAAATGCTTTGTGGATGGCTAGAGTAGTCTCAGTGATCCTGAGCCTGTCCCCTCTGTGAGTAAAGGACCAAAAGAGCAAGCGGAATTATGGAAACAATTATATAGGATCATGTAATTAAAGAGTATCATAATGCTTATGCTGAAGGAGACTGAATTACTTATATGCACAGGCAATCTTAATTCTGGCATTTGCTAACTTTTAAATGCTTGATTTAGCAACCTAACATTCTTTAAAAAAAAAAAAAACAGGTTTGGGGGTTTTTAAACATGATTTTCTAAGTTTTTTTTTAAAAAGCAAACTGAAAAAAAGCAATTCCATTTTGTGGAACCTATATGAGTCATCAGCAGAGTCGGGATCTTTAGATCCATAACACAGATCTCTACTATTTAACCTAATGGAGTAACTGGTAGTAACAGTAAACTGTTATCCTCAGTGTACACTAGCCACCAGACTGGTATGAGACACCCACTTTGCCAGTGGGCTTATAGCTATTTGCTGAGAGCAGAGCAATGTCAAGATTTAAGAGTCCTGGGTTCAATTCCAGATTCTGAAGGGGGGTGTGTAGATAAGGCCTTCTGCCCCATCCCCTCCCTCTACTCCTCACCTCTCTGTATTCATGTCAGAATGCTTCCTTCTCCTCCATACTATCTGGGTGAAAGCAGAGGGGGCTCCACGAGCACAGGAAAAACAGTCTGTCTGCTGGCAGTGCTGGTGCCTGGCACCATAACAGCTCCCAGCAGTATGAAGGAGCAATTGCAGAGAAGGTCATGCTCCACTCCTGCAGCCCTAGAATTGAGCAGGCTCAGTCTAGTCAGCAAGTAGGAGCTGTTTCAGATGGATCATGATCCGTGCAACTGGGATCTTTAGACCATAATGCTTACAGCCTCTACTGGCCATGTGCTAACTGCAATTTTTCAGAAACTTATAGATTGGCCGAATTGGGGTGGATTTTTAGGGAATGGCAACAAGCATATCTTTAGTACTAGGGCAACCTCCCTTGCAAATTGCAAACTCCTGCTCCCAAGTATGGAGGTGCTAGAGCTTCTCAATTAAACAGTTGTAATAATTTTTAACCTGAGCAAAAAAAATCATTTCCCCCTTACCTCCATCTTAGGAACAACTGCAGTGTTATAGCTTAATTTTTTATAAAAAATGAAAATTCTTCCTGAGGCAGACATCCAGCATGCAAAAATTCAGCTCTAATAGTGGAAGTTTGGGAAAATTTTAATTAACTGAAAACAGGGTCTTATGGAAAGTATTCTACAACTTGAACTATAGTTCAGCCTATAATGTGTTTAAAATAAAAACCCCTACAACTTAGAGTTGAGGGTTTCCTACATGTAATATAAATTTCAAATTGTAAACACGTTTTTTCTTTTTCTTTTAAAGGAAATGGAGAAATCTGATGCCAATAACTTCTTAATCCTATTCCGGGATTCTGGCTGCCAGTTCAGATCTTTGTATACATACTGTCCTGACACTGAAGAAATCAATAAGCTGACTGGGATAGGCCCCAAATCAATCACAAAGAAAATGATAGAGGGGCTATATAAATACAACTCTGACAGGAAGCAATTTAGCCACATACCTGCTAAAACTATGTCTGCCAGTGTTGATGCAATTACCATTCACAGCCATTTGTGGCAAAGCAAGAGACCAGTAACTCCTAAAAAACTCTTACCTACCAAGGCATAGTGGGGAAAATATTTGCTTCAGACAATTGTGGTAAACTTGCACTTCATCTTTACTGCCTATAGAAAATAGGTTTCTAGTTGCCAACAAGACTTATAGAACTTGAAATTGGACAAGCTCTTTTATCATCCACAACTGGAATGTAAACACAGTATTTAGGAGTACAGAAGATTGTCACTTAGGTGATACAACTACAAGTGATAATGGAAATGTCTGATTCATGTGTGGAGATGTGTATGTGCTAATAGAGACTATAGGGTACATTTACTCTATATTTTGATTAGATACGTAAGCACTGAATGTTGTTCATCTGCAATTACATTTTTTACATTTCTTGCCTTATGCTTTTGTGTTTGTGCTTGTCTTGAAATTTAATTTTCTTGCTGTTTTTTCCTTCACTTTTCTTATTATTTTCAGTGTCATTGAATTTTACCTAATGAATCCCATCATGAAATACAAACAAAAAAGTGGTCTGTTATGAGGTACAGAACACTCTATAGTTATTCTAAGACATCCTGGTCTTGTTCCGAAAGACCCTCATTGTATGTTCTAATCATTACTGAAAGACTCATCCCACTGAGTATTTCCAGTTCCATTTCAACATCGTAATACTGGTTTGTTTATTTTTTTTTTAAATTAAATATTAAGGGAATTCTTTGAGCTGCTTAAAGGGAGGTTTCCTTCAGATTAAATTATTTAGCAACTAAAATATTCAGGAGAGCCACAGTATTCACTAACTAAATCTGTTTTTTTCACCTCAGTTCTACCCAATTCAGCCTTAAACAAATGTTGCTGTGGATAGACATCTGATATGGGTTTCAGTCTGTCCAGCTTGAAAGTAAATCACTTTTTTTACATACTCTGACAAATGACATTTTGAGAATCTCTTATCCATTTAAAATAAGTATGGTAAAGAACCTGGTAGACATTTCAATCTTTATAACAAATATAAACATTTTTTAAAATAGCCATTGGAACATATTTCAGTATTATTTACAAAGGGCTGCATTTTGATTTCATAACAGTGTTTCATTATTTTGCACAAGTCACTATTGTGCTTAGTGTTTTTCTTTTGTATAATTATTTTCAGTGTAGCACTGTTCTGAAAAAACTACAAACTTGAAACCTCCCCCAAATCTGTGGTTTTTTTGGCAACGTGTACCAGACGATTAGTTGGTGGGAGGGGGGCGAACTCATTCTCAGGAAAAGATTTGAATGATTTATGATCCTGTTTTGTTTGTGTTGTGACAACTGTGTAAATATAAAGACAGTATTATGCTATAACTATGTAGTTCATTCTGTTTCATGGGGAGTAGAGACTAAAATTATGTACATTTCTCTCACTGAACTGCTTAGAGAGAAATAATGCCTCATTACTATGATGTACTCATTTACTTATATAAAAGATTCACAGAAATGAGATGTCCTTAAACAGTTTAGAACAGTACTTTTTTAATTATTATAAGGCCTTAGGCATAAATGCATTGGGTTGTTTATCAACATTTTCTCAAATGCTGTCAATATTTTACTATAATTTATGTTCTTATATTTATGTATATTTGTTAAAACTGTAAAAAAAAGAAAAAACACTTTAAAATACATGTTTAAGATGTATGTGGCTCAAAACTACTTGTGGCTAGCTGATTCCTACTGTTTGCATGTATATGATCAGGATATGTAACTCTTATATTTCAAGTGTATACATATTATGTATATATTATATAAAAATATAGAGGGGAAAGAGGGTTTGCACATTCTGCCTGTTAGCTCTTACAACTACTGTTATATGAACTTTGTATAGTAAAAATTAGTTCAAGAAAAGTCAGTGCTGGAGTAGGGTGCGGGTAGATGGAATTAATAGACGTGGATATGATGAATATGTTTATAAAGGTTTATCATGGGAGGCCTTTTTCTTTCTAAAACTGACCTAGGATTTGACTGAACACTTGCAATACTCACTAGTACATGCACATCCATCTAAACAAAGTGAGTTAAAATACATGCCACAGGGATTCTTTGAATCATTTAAAATATGACTGAATGTATTATGTTCATATTTGTCTACAGGTTAAAAAAAATGTGCAGTGTCTAAAGGTAGAATATGAATAATGCAGTTGAAAAGTTCATTGCTCAGTCTAAAATTTTTCTTAATACAGGAAAAGTGAAGACGGACGCTTTTTCTTTTTTAAGCCTGCAAAATTTTCTAATTACACTGTATCTTTGGTTGGGGTCATGTTTAAAAAAATAAAAAAGGAAAAAAGCTTTTCATAAGGCCAGCATTTATCACTGATCTTTTCAGAACACACTGGTGCTTTCATCAGGGGTATTATTATTATTGTTGTTATGACTGAATTTGCCAAACACTCATCTTAATTTCCAGAGCAAAACTTCAAATTTTAACAGTCATAATTGCTACTGAAACCATTTTTTAAATTTTAGTATGACTGTTCGTTTTTATTGTTTGGCTGTTTAAAGCCAAATACAGCTATTTAATTATGATTTAATGGGCACTGTTGAGAAATGTACAGTGTATTGTGTGCTTACTTGTCCACTTCTGTGGATCATTGCTTCCATATTTTTTCAAATAGTGTGCTGTAAAATATTGTCATATTGCTACTTATGTGGTACAGTGTAGTTTTTCCTTTCAGTTAAATAAAAGCATGGCACCAAAAATCATACATTTTCTCACGCTCTCTCGTATTATGTTTAAATATAAACAAAGTGTGATTAATCAATTTACCTATCTGTTCAAAGCATGCTCATCATGGTAGCTGAACACCTTACAAATTTTAGAAAAAATGCATACAGATTTCTATTTTCTCTTCATCCCCCATTTATGTTTATTTTATTTAACATGTAACTCAGTGTTCTATTATCAGAAGAAAGCTGTTGAAGAATTGGATTTAACAACTCTTTGCCTTCAAGAATGAAATGTAATCCTAATCTCTTCCAAAAGAAAGTTCACAGTTGCAGGCCAGTTGCCAAGAAAATTTTGTCTCCCACGCACACTAGTCCCAATCTTATGGTTAACTTTCACTGTTTCAAAGGATTGGTCTAATTTTGGGAGGTTATCATTCAGCATAATGTGTTCATGTCAATAGCTTTGGTTCAGCCTGTGGAGGGTTTTTCAATATAAAATGAAGCCTTGTACTTGACTGCTGTTTAAAGGGGAAATGGTACAAAAGGCAGAACATGAGGTGAAGTGTTCCCGGTTATCTGTGTTGGAACCTAGAAGGGCTGCTGCCTTTTGAATGAACTAAGGCTTCTTAAGCGTTGTCAGCTTTTTGTGAAATCACTTGTACTTCTCAACTGTCGTGTATATCTTGGTCAGAAGAAGTTTCCAAAAATTAAGTTGTTATCTTTTTCCATATATGTAAATTAGCAATTTAAATATTTAGGGCTAACCTATGCCCATTTGATGGACTCTTGCATTTGTTTTTTAGCTTTATGGTCTTTGTTCTGCATACTTTTCTGTAATCCCAGTGGCTGCCAAATATACAAAATTTAAAACTCACTGATGGATTTTTCCAGCCAGGTTTAGAGACTTAACTGAGGTTTCAACTCTCTCCTGTTGACCAAGATATCATACCTCAGGTCACCTGTTAAGCAAAGTTTCCTCTTGCTTTTTATTATGGAGCTGCTAAAAATATGAGGAGCCAGGAAATCTAATGTCTGTTACAATACTAGATAAGACATTGGAAAATAAGGCACTGGTTCAGAAAAGCACTTAAAAATGTACTTGTCCATCACTGAATCAGGGCTGAAGCTCCTGCATGAATGTTGTAAGAAGGGTACCTAAACCACCTTGATCAGGCAGTGCTTCAAGATGACAAAGCTATAAACAGAAGAAAAGTATGTTAAAACAGTAAATGAAATAAATAAATTACTTAACTTTGATTACAATTACAATTGATTACAACTTGAAAACCAGGTGCAGGATCACATTCAAATTCTTGCATTGCAGACAAAAACAAATATGATCTAATCTTATTCTTGGAGAAATAGACACCAGAGACATTCCAACAAAATATGCCAGATAATCTGGTCATGGCAGAAAGAGCCTGCTGTTTCACCACCATAGGACAGCATCTTTTTACCAATCTAATGGACTGAAGAGTGAATTCTGCAAGAAGATAAGGAACTGGATTAAAGGGATACAAACACATCCCCTTTTTCCAGATCTGAGGCCCACCACACAAAGTTAAAAGGTGATGCTTGGCCTCATTCAAACAAGACTTTAAAATAAGCAGAAGTGCTTATTATATTCTAGAATATTCAAGTTCAATTCCATGGGAAGTAATGTCACAGCTACTGAATCAGAAAGACGACTGTTAAACCTATTGCAAGAGGATTCCTTGTCCAGGCTCATTAAACCTTAACATGATGACAATGATGGCCAAATCATCTCTAGAATACTTAAATGCATTTCTTTTAGAATTTGGTTTGGGGATTCTTTTGTTTACAGTGCTTGTATCATTTTCTTCATTTATAATTTTCTTCTCGCTACAGCAGATGAAAGTAAGGTAAAAATCACATTATTTCACCTGAGATAGTAGTAAATTTATATCTATACTGACATACTGCATACAATAATTGTCAGCATGACTGACCATGTAACCAAAGAATCAGAAACTTCCTTTCCAACACAATTACAATTTTAATCACACAGCCCATGATAGACCTTTTACATTCTAAATTGAAATTTATATTTAATCTTTGGTCTGTCGGAAGTTGTTTCTATAAATATGCACTATAAAAACCTTTCTTCAAGGACCATTATCTTTACAAAAAAGAGCAAAATCACCTCTGCATGATGATCCTGGAAAAACAGGAACTATTTTGGTTCCTTGGCCTGAGGCTTCTACTCATTCTGCAAGATAGCATACTCCACTCTCTAAACACAACAGTGAGGAAAAAAAGCCTACTGAGTGCAAACCCAAGAAATTCCTCTTATACAAAGGAATAATCTGTAGAAGAGACAAATGGGTCCTGAGATATTTTTGTTCTCTGCCATATCTGCAAATTTGGGGGACAAATTGTTAGCTAACTACCAGCAGACAAAGTCTGTCACTGACTTTCAAAGGAATTGAAAAACAATTTTTATTTCTCGTGACTGAAAATTTTTTAATTTTGTAATTTAGAATTTGGAGAATATTCCCACATAAAAACATGAATTCTAAAATACGCACATTTTTATTTAAGCTATTTAAAGCATTCATGTATTTCAACATGTTTCATAGGAATTCTAATTCCACCATGAAACTCTACTAATACAATTTGGATAGTTCTCTAAGTCTGAGAATATAAAAAATGAAGACAAACACTATAAAGTTATTTTAATAAGAACATCACTGTTCCAAAAATTTTGAAGTCAATTTTTTCCTTTAATTTGGCAGAACTACTATAAAGACCTGAATTTCATAGATGTTGAGCACCTGAAAATCTCATTGGCTACAAAGGGCAAATGGGATGCTTGGTAACTCTCAGAGTGCACTTACACTGTTAAAATGTCTTACTCTCCTCACAATTTGGTTAAATACAGAGAGATTCTATGAGCCTGATTCTTAGCTCCACTCAAGTAACACTAAGTAGCCAGGAAGCCATCTTATCTGGCTTCCTAAATAGTCCCTTTAGGTAGGGGATGTTGCCTCTTATGGCCTGAGCAGTTAGCCAGCAGTTCCCAATATTCAGGATCTTATGGGTTGTTTCTGTT